AAATATTAATATTTTGTGGGTGTTACTGTTTACATTCCTTCCTGGTCCTGTAAAAATGCATCTTTTTTTTTTTTCATTTACAGGTCATTTATGGTTCAGTCAGCTTTCCCTAAACACCTTTCCAACTGCTTCTATTTTGGCATTGAAGACTGCTCTCAGCAGTGGTGAGATTCACTTATCTAACTATCTTTTCTCATAAGCTTTAATGTTAGAGTACTTTCTGTAGTTTTAAAAAATGTAAATGAAGAAGCACATTCTTTATAACGGAAATGCGTAGGATCTTGAGTATTTTTCAGGTTTTAATAATTCCAATTGTTATAGTTTAAGCTTTAAAAATAATAGGTTTTATTTATTGAGTAATTATTGTGTATTAAGCTTAAAACATATTATCTTGGTTAGTCCTTACACCAGTCTTTATGAAGGAGTTATTCCCACTTTGTAGATGATGAAGCCAGTCTCTGAGAGGCTAAGTGCTTGTTCAAGATCACACAGCCAGTAAATGGCAGGAATGGAACCCAGGATGTCTGGATACTATGATGCCACCTCATATGTAACTCAGGCCTTTAATTGACATAGTGCAGGGCCCTCTCTTTGGTCACTCTTTAGGAAGGAAGGAAGCCAAACCTTGCTGAGTCCATGTCGTGCTTATGGTCAGTTAAATCTTGCCTTTTCCACATGGCCTATGGTTAGGGCAGAATTGAAATTTCACTGTGTCCTTGAGTTTGTAGAACTCTTGAGTGCTGGGCTTTACTTTTAGTCTTTCTCCCATTCTTGTTACCTGTGTCTGTGAGATGCCTTTACACCTTGATTGAGAGGTCCTGCAGAGGAGTCTGGTAGATCTGGGCTCTTCCCTTTATTTTGTTTGATTGTTCATTTGTTGGTTGGTTAATTCATTCATTCATAAAGGACTTGCTCTGCCCTTTGCTATGAGCCAGGCTTAGTGTTCCTGACCTGAGCTGATAAGGGGTCTGGAGAAGGCCTCTATCAAGAAGGCCAAAGAGAAGGCTATTTCCTTGGCTAAGGAAATAGCC